TAGCAGTACAACCTTACAAAAAATATAGTACCAAAATACCAAAAAGTCCTTGTGAAAGGGGTGGTAGAGAACAGGAAGCGCAGTTGTAAACCCACTGGCTACCTAAAGACATGTTTATTTGTGAATAGTGTTTTTCTCTTTAGAATTCTGAGAGATTACTAAGAGATATAATCCTAATAAGATGCAAGTCTGCAAGGTGTTATTTACATTAGAAGAGCAAGACTTCTTCCTAGATACAGCTGCATTCTCAAGAAGAAACTGCTGCCTAAATATCCAAATCAAACTTCATACAGCAGAGGTATTTCTGACACAGCTTGGTGGAGGTCACTACAGACCCAGGGAAAGAATCCTCTCTAATGGTGGGTGTAGATCAGCAATTCAGTTCAGATAATAAGTGCACTTCTAAAATTAATCTCATGATCCTCCCCACTTACTGTACTTTAATTTGCACCACATAGCAGTATTAGAGTGCATAAACTGGATTCTTTTCCGATGAAACTGAAGATGTGGCTCAGGGCTCCAGCTGGAAATGGGAATTCAGTCCATGGCATCAGACTAGAGCCAGTCTGAAGTGACACCCCCCAGAGGAAATACAGGGTGGTTGTTGAGCCTTCAGCAACAACAATTTTTTTCTCTACAGATATGCTCTTATTGAGCCATATCTCAGATGTACCTCATCCTTATAGTTTAATTTTGACTATTAAAGTATCTGCTTTTGCGGGGTGGAATGTCAATTGGACTGTAGGTTCAAGGCACAACTCTATGAAGGGATGTTAGACAATACTGCTTGCATCTTACTGGTGCTACTGACTGTACGTAGTATGTAGACTTCAAAATTAGATGGTATTAGAGCAGTCTTCCATGTTAATTGCTTGAAATGATACAAAGGCTTTGAGAGATTGGATGACTGGAAATGAGCAGGAATGTGTAACCTGAAAATCTGTTGCCTGCGGAATGCAGAAGATCATTAAAAACTGACATCAAATCTAATAGCTATTTGAACACGTCTTAAAGCCAAAACAAGTTTTTCCAAATACAGTAAATACTAAAATGTAGCTGAGATGTAAACAGATCTTGAAGCCATATAAATTGTCAAAGGGAGATTTTCCTCTTTGCTGAATTCTGCTTTATGGACAGTTTAAAAGTTACTAATAAAATGAGAAATGAAGTGCTTTTCATTTCTGTAAGTGATTGCATATCATAATGGTTCTTAAAAAATCCATGAGGCTTTCTGGATTACTACTGACTTAAATTACTCCTTTTCCTCCCAGTGAAAATGGTTATCTTCATTCTGATATGGATTTAGTCTAGTCTATGCTCAAAAATCTTTGCCAATATAGTGAAGTTAGTTAAGACTGTGATATTTTAATGACATTTTAATGACATTTTCCACTGGCAAAAGTCCTTGTACAGATGCCGTTACATAAAACTCAGGACCTCATGAAAGCTGGACTGTCAAAAGCACTCTTTTGCCACTCGTAACTGCATCAACTCTAGGAGGGGATGCTCACATAGTGAGGAAAAGTCTTTGTTCAAATGTAGCCATGGTAATAAACCTGTGGGTATCACAAGGGAACATCAGTGAGTGATAACCTATCACAGTGGAAAGGGGAGCACGTATTTCAGTGGAGTCTACATTCAGACTGTTAAGGATCCTAAGGTGAAGCTCCATGTGAGAAAAAGTGGTAACAAATTCTTCCCAGCCAGTAACTTGCAGCAGCCATTTTCTGGCTCCTACTCTCTCATTATGGAAAAATGCAACAAAGATATTTCAACTCATATCTTCAACTCAGTAGCAGTATATGTAACGAAGAGTTAAATGCAGAGGATTGTGCTCTAGAGCTCCAGACCCCACAAGTTCCACAGTCAGAGAGACCCATAGGGTCTCTTAAGAGAAGAGGGCAGAACCCCCATGTCATCTGAATGGATATTGAATGTTAAAGGATGGTATACAAGACCCACAAAGCATATTACCTCTAGATAAAACAAGTTCAATGGAAAACATAGCTCTGGGAAGAATATGGAACACAGAAGGGAATCCCTTGCTTAGAGGTCTTGTCTTACTGTTACAAGAAAACTCAGTAGCAGAATCTATGTAAACACCTGTTTCTGATTAAAAGACTTCAGGATGAATGATGTTGTATGTGGTTTTAGTAGGGAGAAAAATTACCTTCCAAGCACCAAACAAGGTTTGAGGTAACGGGACGTCTCTGTGATGTGGCTGCAAGTTGAAACCCTTTTGCTTTGGTAGGTTGTGGTTAGAAGTAGCTTGAAGAATAAATGGGTAGAGGTAGGGGAAGAACTATTTCAAAAAACCGCACGCAGTGAGGTGATGTTTAGAGGGAAAATCTCTCAGATTAATATGAATGCTAAATGTTTTCAGAAATATTCTTTCAGAAACTTAATCTTTCAACTCAGCAGGTTTTTCTCTAGTTCTCTAAATTCCCATCACGGAGAAGGATCCCTACCCTACTTCAAAAGCCTTTTTGAAGGTCAGATTACACTCTGTGAGTAGCAATTCACATCATATGCCTCTGGAAATCAGTTCTATACTATACAATTCTTTAGTAACTTCACCTGTTTTCTGCATGTAAGTCATCTAATAAGGTACTGCAAGGATCTGGGCCAAAAGTACCATTTCTAGTAGACCTTCCTTTATGAGTGAGAAGATTTTGTGATTACAAACATAGGATAAAACACCAGTTATATGCAACAGTGAGAAAGTAATCTATGTTGAATTTTAGCAAGATTGTTACTAGTGATGTTCCTACACAAATATGATAGTGTAAAGAAGCATTTTATTTCGCTTTTAGCATTTCCATTTATGGAGATACTCTCCTTCCTAGGAAGCTTATTCAACTTCTGGACTTTCTGCTGGTCCTCAAGCTTTATGGCATATTATTTGGTCCTAATTAATCATACAGAGAATCAATTTCAGTATTTATATTGATAACCTTGGTGCGCTTATGATTACTCATATGTTAAACATGGTTGATAATGTTGGTAATCTAGCATTCGCTGAGTGTGGTAAGGCTGGTGCAAAATATCTATCTTTATTAGGTAATTTACTGTGCTAAGAGACAGCACAGAAATATCCTCCAGCCTATGAAATATAGTTGCATTTCACTTTAATAGAAGCCTCTCTGTGTAAAACACTACATTTTTAAACCTTCCGGTAGCTGCTTAAGCTATCTTTCAGTGCACAATGAATCAGATAGCATATCTTCTTTGTTCTGAATAACCTTTTTAATAGACACACAATTTCCACAATTACTTTTATCACCTATTATCCAATTACCCACTTTAAGATTTGTGTATGCTGTTGTTCACTCCCTTCTCCTCTGTTTGCACTGAATTTTATCATCGGGACTGTACTTTGCTTCTCTCCTTTTCCCTTAGGTGGTTCTGAATCACTTTCAGGCTGGTGTCCAAGGAGAGACTTGAGAACCATCTCAGAGACAGAAGTGGACTGTTTAGCAGCTTGCTTATTTCTAAGTTAAAGTCAAGATTTCATTGTACAAATAAAATAAGAACGAAATGCTTATGTATCAACTGATGCTAGTGAAATTCAGTTTGGGGCTTCAAGAGTTAATCTCCCATCATGTTCTTGGTCTTATCCCATTGCTAATATGGTTTGCTTGTTGAGTTCCTTAGGGTGGGGAATGAGAGGAACTTGTGAGTGGCCTCTGGTTTTACCAGTGTACAAGGGAGGAAGTCTGTAGTGGCTGAAATTCCCCCTCACACATAGACCCAGGTGAGTGGTGAACAGGCTACTTTCAAAAGCAGAACCTGTGGCACATGGGCATAGATTGAAGGGGAACAGCCCAGACAAAGAAACTTCACTTTTCCAAGACATTAGTAACTAACTGCAAAGCAAGAAAGCATTTTGCAGAATGAGAGCGTTCTCCCCTTGTAGCAAGGCTCCACCCTCTACATCCTGCCCGGTGGCCCACTCACCCCTGCCCCTGCCAGAACCTCAGTACGAAGGGCATTTGTTCAGTGAAGCCAAATGCAGTGGGATAAAGAAAGGGGAGAATACCATGTGAGGAGAGCTAAAGCAAAATCTCTACATGACATTTCGGCACCTGACTGTTTAGATACAAGTCTACAAATCTTGCTCTCCGCTCACTGTTAAAGGCAGTCGGGGTCATTGTGTGGGACATGTAATACTTTCTCCTTTTCCCCACTCGCTTTCTCCTTGCAGAAGGTAGAAAAGAAAAGAAATCACAAGAAACACGTAAGAGGACCAAGTATCTTTCACGGAATCATTTTGCTCTATTGCAAAGTTTATGAAGGGGCTTAACTTCAGTGTTTTGTAGAAACCTAAGACAGTATATTTGAAACTGCATACTCTTTTTTACCTTTCTGCTAAGTATCGCCACCTAATTCCAACACAGGACTATTATTAAAGCAAGTCTATGCCACTGCACATAAGTTCTGTGTCCTCACAGAAGTTGTCAGGACTGTGTCTCTATGATACATTATTAAACGAGGGAGCAGCACCATTGTTAAGGTTCATCTACAGTGGGAAGCACATAGTCCTCCACAGAGCACTGCACCCATATGCTTGTTTGTTGGTAGCAGGCCCAGGCTCTGGGTTGCTGTTATACAGTAAGCACCTGCCCATGGCAGATCTGGCTCAGGGCAGACTTCCTGTTACAGCGCCGCAGCTCCCTGAAATGAGATTTATGCAAACTGGCTAAAAGCTGTGATGTCACAGCACACTGATAGACCCAAGGGCTATCTCCCTTCTACAGACATTTGATAAAATCAGGAACTTCACATACAACTCGGGAAGAAGTTCACCTCAGAACCTATTAGGGCAAACTATGAAAACTTGTTAGGGTCCGTCTCCTGTCCTGAGATCCATCACTGCAAAGGGACTTCACGGAGTCCGAGGATCTCACTTTTTTCTTTTTTTTTTCTTTTTTTTTTTTTTTTCGGCTAAAAGCTGTGATGTCACAGCACACTGATAGACCCAAGGGCTATCTCCCTTCTACAGACATTTGATAAAATCAGGAACTTCACATACAACTCGGGAAGAAGTTCACCTCAGAACCTATTAGGGCAAACTATGAAAACTTGTTAGGGTCTCCGTCTCCTCCTGAGATCCATCACTGCAAAGGGACTTCACGGAGTCCGAGGATCTCACTTTTTTCTTTTTTTTTTCTTTTTTTTTTCTTTTTTTGTTTTTTTTCTGTTTCATGTGATTTTTTCAAGTCAGTTTTTCTGGATGTTTGAAAACTGAATTAAGAAAAATTCACTCAGAAGTTGGCTGAATGTTGCAAGCTTGCAAAATGGAAGGATTTCCCCTCATTCCCCCTGTGAGTATATGGGGTTTATTCCTAGTATGGATCATTGGACTCAGTAGCAAAAGGCAAAGTAAAGCAGGTTTTATTATTTGAGAATATCTCTGTTTTGGTCTGTATTTGTAATGCCAGGAAGTTGGGCTTAGGTCAATATATAAAGCTAGTGACAACATTGCAATGAATGGGAAATTAATGTTTCCTCCCTAAACTTGTATCTGATTTTGATCTCCATTTGTTTTCACAGATTAAATGTATGGTATTTTTGTACAGTATGTGTATAGCAAGTCAGTAAATTTTTTTCTTCAGCGCCGGCTTTGTGATATAAGGCCGAGTCTTTCTTCAGGTTGTAATTCTTAATAATCTGGAGTCTCTGACATAGTTTATGTATTTAGCTATCTACCAATCTGTGAGAGAAGAGTTGCTGAATGTTGATTTTACGTATTGCATTTTTTTGGACTCTGTGCTCTTTGCAATGATGGCATTTTAGTTTCTAACTTCAGCTTCTTTTGAACTGAATTCTCTTGAATTCACTTGCTATGAAAAAGCAATTGGTGAATGAGGGGAAAAAACCCACAGCACTTAATTGGGTCTTTCAGTGTTTTCTCTAAGATACAAATTTTTCTGTATGCTTATGAGGCTGTTTCTATACTTTATTTAACTCTGAAGCATTGTTACACTGCTGTAATTTATCATATGATGAGTTCGGAAATTATTATTTGTGAAGAACGCAATGTCACTAACCTGTTGTTCAGAAACTAACCTTAATGGGAAATCTCTAAGCAGAATGGATAAAAGAGGCCCTAACCAGATTTTATTAAGTTTGTAGAAGCTGAAGAGATGTCAGATAAGGTGTTTTACTTGGCTTTTTATGTGGTAGATGACTTACGGTAATTGCTGTATGTGTTCAGAAAACAGAAAGAGACAATAGAGATCCAAGAGTCCTTTTAACAAAACTTGTATCAAGTTTTCTTTTTGTCTTGTCCCATCTAATGAAGGCTAAAGACATGTTTCCTTATCTTCCGCCCAGAAAGATGGTCCGTTGAATTCCTTTCATGTTTGGTATCCATGTTGACTGAAAAAATATGTCTTCTTTTCGGGAGACCCTTTATTCTAGCAGTTCATCATCGGTGTCCCTGAAATCCCCTATCTACCCAAAGGATGAGAAGACCCTAAAAATCTTTTTTCTTTTTCTTTTTCTTAAATACACCGAGTTGCCCAGTGGATCTACTGTAAATGCGTCAGGATAGAAATCTGAAAAGAAACTGAGAAAATGTAAAAAGTACACAGAGATTTCTCAATCTGTTACTTGTTGGGCTTAAAAAAAACTTACAAAGAAACCCAAACCTTGTCCTCAGCTACCCCAGAAACCAGCACCTCCATTTAAAAAAAAAAAAAATTGTTAATTTTCTGTCCAGTCATTCACTCATAGCCAAGTTTTCTGGACTCTTTTTTTCAGTATTGAATTCCAGTGCATACATCGAATAAATGGAGTGAAAATCTAACACAGTCTGGCCCATATTCTAATTTGTGTTGCAGTTAATATTCTGGCTGAACTCTGTTCAGATGAATGATACAACAGGCAGTGAAAATACAATTATGTCTTACAGGAGCACTTGACAGGGCAATTTTGTTTCTATTTTTGTGATTAAAATGTCCAAAATTTAATAATTTTGTGTTTTGTACTTTCAAAATTGTTTTAAGTGCACTTTGAGCACTGCCAGTTAGAGCCCCACATGGCATCGTTATAAAAGTCTGTGCCTCCTGGGACTTTTTCAGAGGGCAGACATAAGCCTGTTTCTAGACAGGGGTTTCTGTGAAGCAATACTTCCCTCCTCTGCCCCTCCCCTTTCAGTTGAGGGTGGGTCAGTAACTGCCTTCCTTTTGACTATGCTAGGAAACTCTTAGCCTTCGTTTGGAAAATGCTGCTCAAATGGTTTAGGAGTACTGCATCTTTCTCTGAAGATTAGGAATTTTGTATGGAAAAGTTCTGCAAACTGGGCCCATGTCTTCCAGTGCATGATAGTTGTGCTACGGGGTGAAAAATTATTAAGTCAAACACCTTTGCCTAAAGAGGGCCCCAGTTATATGTGAATCCCTAAGTAGCCACCTGTAGAAATCACAGCTTTGAATGGAAGTATATTTGTATGAGAGCGAAAATGCCCCACAGAAGCGCTCTGTTCCACATAACTGCATTGCCAGCATGGTCCAGTGAGGCTGGCCCAATGAGTGATCGTGCCAATATTTTTACTCATCTTTTCTAAAATAGTTACACTGTAACTTTTTTCCAAGGAAATACAGTTAATCTTGGCCTTAAAACTTGTCTCAGCAGCACACAATTGGAAACTGTGTGGAGTATTTCTGAATCACATGCCAGTGAATAATTATGTCAGGATAACAAAAAAAGATCAGCATTTAGTGAATTTACAATCACCTGGAATCATCTGACAAAGTCTTGGTGAATAACAAGAATTTTCAGATTGCTATTCAGTTGAGTCCCCGGTAACTCTCTTAACCAATGCCAACCAGGCTTTCTTCAAGTAGTTTTGTGGCTTTTCCCTTGATTTTCAGGGCAAAGAAGGAAGATGGAGGCAATTGTCCATTTGTCAAAGTCTGACACAGATAAAGTATTGTTTGTTGACCTCTTGCTTGAGGTCGGTTTTAGATAGCGTACTGCACCTCATGGCATGTAGGAAAGGAGATATCAACTTCAGACCGCAGCTATGAGTTGCTAACAAAGCTTTCTGTCACTCTTTTACATGAAAACAATTGATAGAACAAATGGCCATTGACATCAGTTAAATATTAAATTGTAACATAAGCCATTCTTTGCTTTTTGTCAGGGGAAACAAAACAGTTCAGTGTCATGGAAGTGCTATTAGTAAGTAAGATGATGAAATGGGTGTGTGGGTGGGGAGGTTCCAGAGAAGGACGGGGCAAGTGGGTAAAGATTGGTACAAGAGGCAACAGCAGCACATGGTGAAACCTCTTCTCTCTAACTAGAGAAAAACCTTTTAATAAAACTTAAAGAAAAAACAGAGAGAGATTAAAAACCTGTTCTTGGAAATAGTTTCTCTAATGAATAGATGAAAATAACCCACCTTCCCGTAAGATAAAGATAATCAGAGAGAATCCATGCTGTACTGTCTCCTTTGACCACCATCTATTTAAGTTTATGATACATAAACTTTTAAATATTTAATATACATCTTCCCATATTAGTTACTGTGCCCTTGAAGATCAGACACCAAGATGGAAAGTGGTGCCAATTCAAGTCTTTTGTGGGGATGGATTGGTCCAGGTTGCATGAGTTAACAAGGATTTACACATACATATTTTATCAAATGGATCACTGAGCAGAAAACAAATTCAAGGAAGAAATTTCCCACAATCCATCATAAAGAGATTTTAAGTCCCAGACTTTCAGAACAGAGTATGTAAAAAAACAATGATCTATGTAAAAGCAGACTGTTTTTTAAATGTTGAGTATCTGCAACTTGCTCTGCAGTCAGCCAGATCTGTAAATATTAAGGGAATCACTTTTTTAAGAGTCTATTTAACACACCTTCCTTTAGCTCTGGTCATTGAATACACATCTGAACTTGTAAAACTAGCTTTTCAATGGTAGAAATACTTCATTCTCAGCTCTCAGACTGTGAGACACTATTGCCTGTTACAGTATATTGGACTGAAATGGGGGAGTTTGGAAAATCTTAAGGAAGAAGAGACAACAAAGGAAGAACACAACTAGGAAAAGTCAAACGTTCTTTCCCATGCCTAAACTATGTATTGTTTATCTACTTTTGGACTGATGCTTGGCCTTCCTGCCAAGGTATACTTCTGTAAAGATAAGTGATAGAGCTTTTGTTGTAGCAGTGGAAATTTTATACATAGCAAATTAACCCTAGATCGACAGGACACTGATTTCTTTGGAAACTTCTTTACTTTTGGCTAAATATTTATCAGAGCTACAAACTTTGATGCATTTAGATATGGAAAATTTTTATAATTTCAGTCAGTTTCTAGTATTTTAGTTGAAAGGAAAAAAAGATTTTTCTTTCAAATGATATACATTTATGACTTTTTTAACCTCAATTTCTCCCAACTAGTATGATGTGCATTTTCCATTTGGATGTTGAGGTCTCTCCTTTCACAGAATATGAATGCTTTCCTTTGAGTTATGACAAATTAACAATTCTGAATATGAATGCAAAAACTTCATACATTCTTCAGGTTTACATGATTTAACAGGAAGCATATGTTTATGGAGAGGAAATGGGTGAATGGAGTGAATTGCAAAAATAATCAAAAGTAGAAATTCCATTCAGAACTTTATCCTGAAGAAAACAAGACACAGTCTCATTACTTTTTCTTGTCAGAGATCAGAGTACATCACAGGTCTAAGGAATGGGGATGAGTGAATGCGTATAACCAGTCACAGTTAGAGAGAACACAAAGAAAATATGTAGAGGGAAACCAGAAGCATCAGAGAGAATCCATGCTGTACTGTGTCCTTTGACCACCCCTCTGAAATCTGGAAAATACGTTATACTTCCCATTAAATCTCTGTAGATGAAGGGCAATTCTATTGGAATCATCTTGAATCTCCCTTGAAAGGGAGAATGAACCTATGTCCTCTGGAGACCAGAAATAAGAGGAGTCCCTTCGCTGGTATCCCTGCTGCGATTTGCTCCTTTTATTTAGTCTTTCCCTTAGATTGTCTTTATTGTGGGTTATCATCTTCTCAAGATTTCCCCAAAACAATTATCCACCACCACAGATTATATTGGGAGCTGACAACCAGGCAATGGATTTGCTCCTGAGGCTTTGAATATTCCATGGATCTGATGCCCAGTTAGTGTGTATTCTGGGAGTCATGACTTTTAGGCAATCTTACCAGTGCATTTCAATATGATACGCTAATACAGCATGCAGCTGCTACTGAGGATCTACCTTCTAAAAGTATTTTCTATTTTTCTGTGTTCTAACATCTTAATACTCTGGGAATAAGTCTCTCTTTCTTCATCTTCAATGTCAATTTCTTCAATGTCATCATAGAAATCACATCCCTAGAAAAGGACAATCTTTAAATCACCAAATTCCAACAGAATGAACTGAAGGAGTTAACTAGAAGAATTAAAGAGTAGAGTTAATGAGCACTGGTAACTCTGATGTAGTTTTCACCAGAAAAAAAAATCTTTTCCTTTTGCCAGCTGCTCATCTACCACCTCCATCTGGATTTTAATGGCAGCTCCTGCCTTAGGTTTCATGTTCTCGAGTAGTCTAGAGGAGGAAGAAAAAGAGAAGCTCGCCTGCATTTCTGGCATGCTGTCACCATACAAAATGCTGGTGTTCCAAAAATGAGACAGATTTGTGGAGGGAGATAAGGATTTGGGACATACAGATAGGCATATGAACATATAGACTTATGAACATAAAAAATATGCCCATCATGTAAGTTATCATGTTGTTTTAAATATTTGTCCTTTTCTTTAAAGTTAGTTATGCTGAAGTCATTAACAGAAGAAAAATGTCTCTATTAGTACCTACTAGAAATAATTTCCTTTCAGAACAAAAAGCAAGAAGGTGTTTGAGTTCTACATTGCTGTTGGCACCGTAAGAATTTGTTCAGATTGGAAGAAAATATTGTAATGAACTTAATTGGACAAAAGTTTAGCAAAGCCCCGTGAAGGACATTGCCCTGCTCTAGCTCTTCATTCTGGAAAAAGACAAAACCAGACATTAAAGGAAGCGACAGAATTGTGCACAACTAATAATAAACAGACCACTTTTATTGAAACAACATAAGATGTTAAACCGTATTAACAGCGGAGTACTAGGCATGGGGAGGAAGACAAATGGGAAAGTTACCCTATGTCACCTGTTTTAAGAAGATAGAGAGGACTTGAATTCTACAGCTAAGCATCCAATAGGCCACGACTCAGTATCTGCCCCACATTTGGACATGTTAAGTCTTCTCTGTGCATATCTAACAGCCCTGTGCAGCTGATTTGAACCAGCAAACTTTTACAGTTTGGACAATACAATCCATACAATCCATACAATCCATACATCTTCGACAAAAACTCAGAAAGAAAATTATTTTATGCCCTCTGTCAATGTCATTACCCTCCTACAAACTGCCACTATTTAGTGAGACCTCCTAGAAACACTCAGAGTAACATGCTTAGGCAAGACAAGTTTCTGCTTTCTCTTTTGTGTACAGGAGGAATAATAATATAAATATCTGTCACTACCAAATAAAAGGTTTCCCTGCTGTGCTGGTGTGATGGCATCTTGGCTTGGGCCTGATGCCCAAGACAGCTCTCTAAGTAGTACCCGCAGAAGGGTGGGGGGCAGGATATGAAGAACTTGTGTAATACCACAGGACAAGTTCTGCTACATGGACTGGGTCTAAGGAGATGGATTACTTTTTTTTTTTTTTTTTTTTTTTTCAAAACCGTTTTTTG